GTAAGGAGGGCGACCAAAGAGCGGATTAGATTTTAGATCGCGGAGATCGGTCTCTCACGGCATAGATGAGAGGAGGCGACGAATGTGCCGGGCAGAAAAATCTAGGACAGTGAAAATCGGCCTGTATCGCGCGCATCTATAGAACGAAACGGGAGCACCGACGCACAAATTGATCGCCAGTTAGGTCTGGAAGAGTAATAACTGTAGTTCATTCCAATTGAGGACTCGAGCTCGCGCGAAATTAAGATCGGATGCGAGCGATACCGATCCATTTCCAATTCTCAGAGAGGGACAAAGTCCTTCATCGCGCCGTTCACCTCTTATCACGTTAGACAGGCCTGGGCATGTATTTGAAATATTTTTCTTTGAAAAATAAAAGTTAAGAGAGTTGTAAGACAACTTTACATTTGATATTTCAGCGAAGCATATGCAAATTTTGTATTTCATACATGGAATCATATAAAAGTATTGTATTTTGTATTTTAAATACTATAAGATTGACGATCAATCTTACTGAATTTTTGAATTACAAAATATAAAAAACTTTTCGATTTTAAATACAAAATACTTATATTGCAAATACTGTGTTTCAAATAAAAGTATTTAAAATACATGCTCAGACCTAACGTAGCTTAGGTGCTCAGCATCTTTTTCTCTTCAGATTTTCCGGATTAATTTTCATTGTCATAATTTTATAGCAAAGAAATTGCCGCAAGATGTAAATCCCAAAGGCGTGTTTGCTTGCAACGAGCTCGATTTGAAAGAGGTCCAGGTCTATGGATTTGATTACGATTACACGCTGGCGTGTTACAAGCCATCCATGGATTACTTGCTTTACAGCCTGGGTCGTGATATGCTTATTAAAAAATATAAGGTCTCTATTTTGTGATAAATTTGCTGGATTAATCAAATCGATAAAATATGTAGTATTTATATATGCAATTCTTTTGCTTCTTTGAATAAAATCTAGAATCAACTTTTTGTAATAATGCAAAAAAAATATAATTAAAATGTCTTTGGTCAAATATGTTTAATAATTAAAAGAAACATATTTCGTATGTATTGCAAATTTTTTTATCATTTTCAAGATAAACATTATTTAATTGTGAAAAATAGTTTTGGTGCTTTATTGAAAACTTTAGTAAAAGCTTTAGTTTCTGCTTTAGTGAAAGGTAAAAGAATTAAATGTGTAATAATACGCAGAGCTTGTCTTTTCTCCTTAAAGGACAGCTCCTCAAAATTTCTCCCGAAATCAAAGGACAATTACAACTGATTAGAATTTCATCTTGAAGTTCACTTAAACAAGCTTAATTATTCCAGTATCCAGAGGGAATTGCCAATCTAGAGTACAGAGAAAATTTCGCCGTTCGCGGCCTTCGACAGCTTCTTGCAAATTCAATTGGGGGCCGTTTATCGTGGCTTGCATCCCGTACCCGATGAAGAGGTTCTTCGAATCTACAAGAACAGGATAATACCGATAGCTTATGTGGAGGCACCCCATAAACACTCTTATGTGAGTTCATTATCGAATAACGATGATAAAATGGGAAAATTAGTGAATTATGTATAGCACTTGAAAGCTTAAAGCACACAACACATGTTATTTCTTTTTAATAAGAAAACGAGCACGGCATGATTTGCTTAAAGCCAGTAAATTCAAGGTACGAGAAGTACTTCACAATTTTTGAATATCGACGATGTGATTTGTTGCGTAACTGAACAATTCTATGCTTAATTATTTTTAATTATTTTTCTAAATATTAAAACATTTCTCGTCTTCTCTCTTTTTTATACCGCGGCAAAAAGAAGCAGCGATATTTTTCACGATTTGTACGTTTTTGTAAAGAAAAATCTTAATGTATTAAATGTCTCTCGTTCTCTGTTTTTGCATGTATCAACATGTGTGTTTTTGAACGATGAATTGCTTCATATATATATATATATATATACTTGTATATACATATATATAAATTTTTGAAAATATTCTAAATTCTGACATTTATTTGTTTAGGATGCTGTACATCGCTCGAAAATGGTGCAATTAGCCGATTTGTTTTCGGTGCCGGAAATATGTCTATTGTGTAATGTCACGGAGTATTTTCTACAGAATCACATTGATTATCATCCGGAGATACTGTTCAGAGACGTTAAGGTGAACAATCAAAATATAATCTTGCTAATTGCTATCGTAACGAATTTTATACGATATTTATAGAACTCTGTGCAAAGTTGCCATCCTATAATGCATCAACTAGTAGTGCAAAATGTGTCTGAATACTTGGAACAGAATAAAGATTTAAGGAGATTTTTCGATCGACTTCGAAATGCCGGCAAAAAGACGTTTCTGGTCACGAACAGTCCTTTTCATTTCGTGTATGTTTCTCAAGTATTAGCAATCTTAAATTAAACGAAATCTATTATGCATATAATAATTATTATACAATGATTGACATGACTTTTACAGTAACAACGGAATGCAATTTCTGGTTGGCGAAAATTGGAAGAATTACTTCGACGTAGTAATTGTTCAAGCGAGAAAACCAAAATTTTTCACTGAAGAAACGCGCCCCTTGAGAATCTACGACGAAGTTAAACAGACGCAACTATGGGATAGAGTCACTAAACTCAACAAGGGTATCATATATCTTGAGGTAATTCTCTATTTCAATGTTAAAAAATTATATATTTATGATTATGCTAAATAATACTGTACTAACCGTGAAATACACTTAGGGAACAGTTAAACAGTTGCAAGATATGACCGGATGGCGAGGACATCAAGTATTGTATTTTGGTGATCATCCATACAGCGATCTGGCGGACGTGACTTTAGAACATGGCTGGCGAACGGGAGCAATTATAAAAGAATTGACGGTAATTAAACAACATTTTTATTTGTCTTTTTTGTATGAAACTAATCTGTTTTCAAAAGAATATTGATACGTTGAATTTAGTATAGATATAATCATATGACGTATAATATATAAATTGTATTACAGCACGAAATCGAAACCTTGAATGATCCGAAATTCAAAGAAAACGCGAACTGGCTCCAAATGTTAACCGGTTTAATTGAGGAACATCAGGATTATGAAGGACCTGAAGTGCAAAATGAATTGGACGAATGGATGAGAGAACGGGATCAATTAAGAAACGAGATTAAATCTGTCTTCAACGAACAATTCGGCTCGGTGTTCAGAACATATCATAATCCGACTTATTTCTCTAGAAGACTGTTTAGATTCGCTGATATCTATATGAGCTCGATTACAAACCTATTAGAATACTCCACAAGTCATACGTTTTATCCTAGGAGAGGTGTAATGCCTCATGAGTATACTAGTTATTTCGTATAAAATGTCTATGTTTTTAGAAATATTTATTGTTTTTATGTAAACGCTTTTAGGACGTACAATATTTTACAGAGAATAGTATTTTCGATGAAAAAAGCTATGTATTCGACGTCATAATATAAAGCCTTCATAACAGAGAATTACCAGTTCCGCTCGCAATACTTCCGCCTTATTATTAGATATGCATGCATAATTTACATGTATATGCAATGTGAATCTATATCGATCACCATTAATGCGCTTTTACAGCCGCGTAGTTACAGGTAATCTGCATCGAAATGTAATGTATGTAAACGTGATAAAACGGACGGGCGTAGAGATTACGAAGGCTGTTACATTATTATTATTATTATTACCATGACAATAGCTGTATTATGTAAAATGAAGTTGTAAGGAGTAAATGTACAGAATAGGAAAAGTCGAGCGATTATACACAAAGTATTATTGAACTACGAAACTTATAACATATTTTAAGATTTAATAATTAAAGTTTATTTTTCGTAAAAGATATAAGGAAAAGAGATAATGTGCTTTTGCGTAATTAGAACGAGATACTTTTGAACAGTATATTATAAGATCATGTTGATACTCAATTATTATTTTTGCAAAGAGATTGTATATTTACTGTTAGCGTATTATAAATTTAAAATGTAACTTGTAATATATATTGTATATTTATGAATATGCTGTATATCATGAACAAATACAAGTGTATTGCATGTATGTAATTCGATATTCAACCAAAATTTATAAATTAAATTAAAACTCACAATTGAATTGGCATTAGCTTTCTACTAAATTCTGTATTTAATCTTATTTCTCCTACAAGAAAGTATGCATTAAAAATTAAACAAACATGTGTTTGATTAAAGTTTAAATACGTCTATGTAAAACGAAAATTTATCTTCATAAATTAATTATATTTTGTATAGAATGACTTGATACAATCGCAGATATCTTTAGCATATTCAAAAATTTAGTAGTTAAGATAACTGTGTGTTCAAAAATATTTAAATATTTATGAAAAATAATAAAGTATATTTATTTCATGTATTTTATGTAGACGAATTGTATTACTGTTGCTAAATATATCTTTATTTTCAATACAAATGATTTTCTACATAAACATCAAGAACAAAAATATTTTTTCATCTCTATTACGAATATGTTTATTGATTCTGTTTTGTTTCTGGATTGCCTATACACTTTCAAATTTTTACGAACTTGACACATCAAAAAAAATTAGCAATATGACTTGGGAAGAGATTAAACCAAAGATTTCAGTACCAATATTTTGTATACTCACGCTTTGCGTATTTCTAGCAGATATTCTAATTGATGAGAAAAAATAATAGAAAATAATAATAATAATAAGGTTTGTATAAATACGATTGAATTTCTAACAGCAATTATTTCTGATATAAAAAAATATATATATCTTGATTATATCCATACTATCATAATTTTTAGGAAAATGATTATTCAATCATAATCTATATATTTGTCTATATAATTCTAAACAGATATAAGTAATATCAACTTACTCTAATATTTACACGCATTTCTATAGAAATATAATTTAGTTATATTAATTTAGTTACATTAATTAATTCTCTTTCTTAAATTTTTATTTGTCTTCGTGTTTTATATAAAATAGTATAATATTATGTACATTTGTCATTTTAGCATATCCCGATATGATAAATGAACTGGAAATAACTCAAGATGAGCAAACAATTCAAAAAGAAATTGCTCTAAATAAATCACCTTTTCAACAAGATCATAGAAACGTAATCCATGTTGATGATGAGTCAACAAACGAACACACCATCGAGAAAATGTTGAAAAAATCCCTTGACATGTTTATCCAAAATTTAATGGAAATCTTTAACATAGGTGTTAAGGATAAAAAAGTAAGTAAGATTATTGTGATACACGAATTTGTTTAAATTATATGTGTATATATATATATATATATACAAATTTATCTATTTTACGTATATTTTATTTGTAATTTTATATACCGTATAATACGAGAAATGTTTAAAAAACTGGAGTATACATTTTAACATATATCTTAAAATACATGGTATACAAAATTATAAATAATATATAATAATAAATTCTATCAAAGAATCTGACATTTAGATGATGTAAATTGTAGATCATCTAAATCTGAACTTGATATTTATTATTTTTTAGTTATTAGATCTCATCGAGTCTGAAATGATTTTGAAACTTCCTGAATTGCCTAAAAACATACCGTCATCGAAAACATCAAAAGATGAAATGCAGAATGCGGAAATGGAAGTTCCACTATTCACGCCGCTAGAAGCAGCCACTGTATCTTCCGTCCTCGAGGAGTGTTTAAACCGGCTCGCCATAATCGGATTCATTATACCAGCCAACGTCGACCCACGCTGGGATGACTCGTTCAAGACAATCGACGAGACATATGGGGTATCTGATGAACCTGAAATTATCTTCAGAGAAGACATGGGCCTGTTACCAATTGTACCCACGAAGGCTGAAAAATTGCAGAGGGAAAGGTGCGCAAAAACACTCATATATGTTTTATAATATACTTATGCAAAAGTATACTCTACATTCTAATTGCTTTGATGACTAGCAGATGTATATAAAATTCATTAAAAAACCGTCACATGATCTCAGAAAATAATACGTTATTTCGAGATTATCAGGGCTCTGTATATATTCAAGTCTTTCGCGAAAATATTTTGGTACGTTACTGTCCCAGTAATCCCTTTAAAAATAAGAATCTTTGAAAAGAAAGATGCTCTTTGGACAATCGCACTAATTTGCATCCCCTTCTCTAATAAATCTGCATTTAGAAACTATGTATATGAAGTCCTAAAAAAAGTCCTTCACGAAATAAGGAACCACAGAACATTTGACAGTCTACAAAAAGAGGTTGATAATATCGCGAAGAAACTTGAAGGCGAACGTAATCTTGAAGAAAGCGCCCAGATGTGGCTCAGTCAAGCTGAACAACTTCGAGAGCAACTAGAATCCGATAAAAAAGCGAACGAGGAAGACAGGAAAAACACTATAAATCTCGCGCAGGAAAGCGACGCGCGAGTCGATCACGCGATATTCATAAATAATGGAAAATTGGGTAACGCATAATCCATATAAATGCGTTTCATAGTGTTCTGATTGAGTACATTGCATTCAGGCTATGCGGAAAAATGGGCGAAAGCTAGATTGGAGCAGCTGGAACTCAAACTGAATCTACAAAACAAAGATATGCTGAACAAATTGAGTGAATATTCAAAGGAGTACAATGCGGAACAGGCTATTTCGGCTGAAATACATACTTATTTAGAAGCAGACATCAAAAAGAAAGAAGAGCAGATAGATATGTGGACGAAGAAATATAATGAGGAGCTTGTGGAACGACAGGAAGAAATCGATGAATTAAAGGTATATTCGAAGATTAACGTAATAAGGTGTGTAGTTGAATAAATAAGACTAAATAATATATAATTTATATATATATATATAATTTAACTAAAAATAAACATATTAACAAATAAAAGATAACAAACTTAACATACAAAAAATAAAAATAAAAAAGAAAATCATTTGTTTAATGATAAGCTTGAGTTTAATAATGAATATCTTGATCCGCTAATAGGAACTAATAAATGAACAAAAATTAGAAATAGCAGAAATGCAAGCTTTAATGGACGAACGGCAGAAATTTATTGATGAATGCATTGCCGAAAAAAATATATTGAAAGAAGAAGAGAAGCTAAATAAAGCCGCAACTGTTATCCAATCGACATGGAGAGGTTACATGGTAAGAAAACAATTAGGAAAATATAAAGGTCTATGGAAACAATTGAAAAAGCAAAAGAGAATTACGGAAGAGAAGCAAAAGAAAATTACGAAAAAGAAGCAAAAGAAATTACGCTAAAAAAAAAAGCCTAATGAAAAGAAGAGACAAAGAATACATCTAAGAAAAAAGGGCTTCAGTGTCTGAACAAACGACAGAGAGAATTTGATATTTTATTACTGAAAAGAGAATTACCGCTTTCTTTACACACTAATAATGCCTTCGAAGTATCTGTATAAATTATTCAAATATATTTTTAAACAAATATCAGAAATACAGTATTTACATGAAGGTCTGACTCACACACATGCAAACATGACAAGCGCACAGCATTGTTTGAACATTACCGAGTACGAATTCCGTACGCATAAGTAGTATACAATGATATAAATATACCGGCTCAGTATCATACTCGATAAAGGCATAACGTCTCTCGGACTTATTCTCAATTCTGTCGTACATTCTCAAGCTAAAAATGACAGCCGCTGAAGCAATCAGTGGCAGTGTGATGATCACTGTACATTCCCTACGTATTATTATACAACATGTGGGAAATAATCACTTTACCAGTAGTGTACAGGTTGGTATAATGCGATGATAAAATTATACGCGACAAACGTTTATGTGTGAACCGAAATAAGATTATACTCATCGCTCAGTCTGCATGTACTAGAAAGTACTGTATTTATAAGTTTTTGCAATAGACGAACTAGTGCGAGCGATTAAATCTATCTTCGCATTTTATCAGATCCGAGACAGTTTGCGTTGCTCAGTATCGCGAGATGGTCACTGATCTGTTACCGACACAATTCGCGCACATAGGATCTCCCGAGTCCATCTACGGGTTAAATACGTGCGATTTCCAACAACGAGGTAGCGAAATGAAATTCGAGCTAGAGCGAAGTGAAGATACTGTCGCGAAGCGACGGATGTGCGCATACATGCGCGCGTTAGAATTTGAGAATGGTAATTTTTCTATCACGACGAGATAGGGACGTGTTTAATTGAAATGGAATTTAAACTGGAAGGGAGAACCGTGGAAATGATGGAACTCCTGGAAGGGATTGAAGCCTTGCTGATGCCGGCCCGATTCCGGATCCAGAGGATCTTCGCCCTGATCAAATTTCGCCCTCTTCTCGTCGTCCGTAAGAACCTCCTTAGCAGCAGCGATGTCGATGAATTTCTTTTGCGCACGTTTCTTCTCATCACCCTCTTGGAAATTATCAGGATGCCACTTTTGTGCCGCTTTCCGATAAGCTTTGATAATATCCCGCTTATTCGCTGTTCTTGGAACGCCTAAAATCTTATAATAATCTCGCGACTCCGATAACTTTTGCCGTTGTTGCGCTTTTTGCAGTCCCTGTTTGGCTCTTTGGAAATTTGAATCTATCTCTAATGCTTCCTTAAAATCCCTGATAGCTGTTAAAGAGAAATATTCGTTTATTATGTAATTATAAAATGGGAAAGTCCTATATATACTTTGGCATAAAATATGTAACATTAAAATAATAATAAAAAATGAAAAGGAATGTTGCCAGTTGGCACGATTTTGTAGCAAGAGATATAAGTAGGTTCATGTAACTTCTGTAAAAAATGTGGAGTTGTTCTGCAACAAGAATACTTTGATAATTCATTCACGATCTACACAAAATTAAAAATCATACATTACACAAACTGCATATTTCGATATAAAGTTATTAAAATAGTAAACCTAGAGCCTAAACACAAGGCCAAAACATATAATGTATTGTATTCTGTAACATTGAAGATTTTTTATTATGTTGGAATTTCGTAATTTATATTATTTTGTATATATGTTTATATTTAATACATTTGCGTTGACCTAATTTTGAAGAATTGCTTTTATTACTGTTTTGACTCTTATTAGCTTTTTTTTATTATTTTGTATCTTCAGTTATTAAAGCATTCTTGTTATAGAATTGCGCACTTTTTACTTTACCTACTATTCCCAACTCCTTTTTAAATTTGATTATTATTTTAAACTATCGGTAGTCTAAATTATTTTTTGTACTAAACATAAGATTAAATTACCATCATCGAACATTTCTGCGGCAAGATACGCTTCTGCACTGTCGCACAATACACTCGGTTCTCTTCTGATATTTAAAGCCTCTTGGCAATTGCTAATCGCCTGAGTTGCCTCAGAATTTTCTGAGTAACATTTGCAGAGATAATGATAAGCCATGAATTGCACTTTCGGCTCGTTTGGCTCTTGCGTTAATACACGATGAGCTGGATCAATGCACGCATCATAATCCTTTTCTTCCAGTGCTGTCTCTGCATCTTGTAATAACTTCTTTATCTTTCTAATTTTCTTATAAAAGGGGAAACATTGCTTATGATCAGGATCAAGCTTTAAACATTCTCGAATCTCCCTAAATATTTATGATAAATTAGTTGTACGTCTTAATAAAAATATCGATTATTCTAATGATTAATTACTCACTTTAATGCCTCATCAACGTCTCCAAGATGATAGAGCAACGTTGAGAGCTTAAAGAAACCCTCCGTATTATCAGATAACAATTTGGTAGTTGAACGTATGTCCGATACGGCACTCATAAAATCCCCAAGGGCAACATGACTCTCTGCCCTGCGTTCTCTAAGATACGAGGACCATGGACATATCTCGATGAGCCGAGTAATTTGCTGTATAGCTGCTACGTGTTCACCATTATACACAAGTATATCGACTAATTTCATATCTTCTCTAGCTGGATATAACCTATCTAAGGCATTCAAGGCATCCCTATTATTTGGTTCTAATGCTAGCTACAATAAAGAGAGGTGACATAAGACGAAAACGTGTAAAAATATAACAGACATTTACCAGTAAAAGACACAGTAACAATGTAATACAGAAATCATTACATCCTACTTGCCAGTATTAGAAGCATTCTATTAGGTGTTGGAATTAATTCGTAGCATTTTACAAGTGATGGGAAGTACTTTCATTAATGTATTTTTTAATGCTCATGTGAAATAAATAACATTCTTTCATTAAAAACGCTACGAATTAATTCCAACACCTAATACAATAAGCCATTAGTCATAAATCAGAAGTTAAAAGTTGAAAATTGACCATTCAGTCGTTTAATTTTAGCTCCTGACTTCTAATTTATGACTAATGGCTTATTGTAGAAAGCCCATTAGTAGAGATAAAATGATTCATTGTAGATATCAGAGTCTAATCATAAAATTACGAACTTTTGATTGGAAGTTAACAAACATATATATATGTATATGTATCCTTTTTTCTCATTCTTGTTTTGACAAAATTGCTTGTGGCCAAACTCTGTTACAAAGTCTCTAATTCACTGAATCATCTGTGTCTCTGGTTGAAAAACAACTAATACAAACACAAAGGATAACATACCACGTCGTCAAAGTCGTTTTCAGCCTCGTCAAAATGAGCTTGCTTGAGTAAAATGTTACCACGTTGCAGTCTCGCTGGTGTAAAGTCTGCCTTCAGTTCTAGAACCTTGTCGAGGTCGAGGAGGGCAAACTTGGCTTTGCCCAGCGCTAAATAAACTGTACCTCTCTTATAATACGTCAAGTAATTGCTTGGGTCCCCCTCTGAAAAAAGTTCAGCTTTGAATTCTTAGACCATTGTCCTCCTCTCCGGCATAAAAACTGTTATCAAGAGAATCACTCTCGCGAAAAATTTAAAGACCGGGTGCGAATTTCCGATTCAACCTACCAACTGCTGCATGATAGTGTGACAACGCATCCTGTAGCTGACCCTTCGCCAGGAATTCTCTACCATACTCCAGATGTTTAGCAATCTCTGCTTGCGAAACACTTCCGACCACTAAAAAAACAGACGTTATCAGTCGTTCGTGCGGATAAACGGGCTTATTTACGCAAGGGTGAAAGAGAAGGTTAGAAATGCACGTACCATCGAGGGTTAGATCCAGCAGTGCCACTATCAGGAGACCGTACATGACTGAGGGGAGAAAAAAATCAGTTCCACTGCGTACGACGTATTATACTGTAAATGAGGAGACTAAACGTACTCGGCACCGCCAGATCAACTCCTAACCAACTGATAACACAAAACTGTCTAGCCACGCCGCCATTGCGATCGTGGTCATATGCGATTGGCGTAGTGACGAGTCGTGTCTCTCCTACCGGTTGGACTTAGAGAGCCTCACAGGGAGAGAGTGGCAAACTGTGTCACGTGACCCGTCTCCTCTGATTGAGTATGGGCGTCACCAACTCCATAGGTATGGAAGAGATTGGAGAAAATTGGTCACGTGATCCCCGTCCTGATTGGACATGAGCATCACGTGATGCAATTTGCCACTCTCTCCCAACTCTCCCAGTAAGGCTCTCTAACGTGGCTCAAACACGAGAAATACCGCACTACGCGGGGAAAACGAATATTGAGATATCAAATGGTTAAAGGATCCACGTAAACGAGATCACCTTGACCAACTCTTAACAAGCTAATCGGCAATTAACTTATTAAAGCTCGTTTCCATCAACGTAGATTAACTTTAATCTTGGATCACTTTATTCTTTATCTTTTTCTTATTCTTAAAAAAAAAGATGAGTTTGTTGAATCGAAATTAAAGTTAAACTGCATTGCTAGAAACGGGTATAAATAATGCATTGAGGAAATATATATACAAAGAGGAGCTATATAAACAGAACTGCTTAAAGTAAAATTTTTAATATACTCAGAGAGAAATCTGAGAGAGACCATGTCGTTTTTTCTGTTACCGTCGAAATCGCCTGTACACTACCGCCAGTACATTTTTAATTTGAGAACTACGTGACTATATACATTTTCTAACACTATCGATAAAATAGTATCGTCGAAAATAGATATGGTTCGTCTCTGTACTAAATTCTCAGGACAGAAGCGTGCCGACTATCCATAGGAGAGATAGTTTATCCGTTTAATCCGTTTAATGGGTCCTTGAACGAAAAAAATTGAATTTCGTATCTCCTACATATGTAAATAAAAGTTGTTGAATTTTAATAAACGAAATTGAAAATTCAAACAAGTTAATTTAGTGAATTTTCTCTTATAATACCTTATAAAATTATGAAATTATGTTTCTTTATGCAAATTTTCAGCCCGTTTTTACCAAATATAATTACTAATATGTATCAAAGTGTCTATAATTATTAGCAATTATAGAAATTTTTAATAAATTCAATCTTTTCTAAACATATATTGTCAATTTAAGGTATAAGTTAGCAAAAACGAGTTATAGAGGCTCTTTACCCGCCATTTTTGCTCTTTTCTTTGTAAGTATATAAAACAAACAAGCTACAATTAAATTTAGTAGAAAGGTTTTTGCAGGTAAGTACATCTTTAATTTATTTTTTTATTTTTATGTCTA